CGAAGAGTTTTCAAGACTACGACAACGAAAGAGTTGTTCGGTGGCTTTCCCGGCTCACGCAGTATGACTTCGCCGTCAAGTATATCAAGAGTATCACCAACGCGGTCGCCGACGCACTTTCCAGACGCCCTACAGGTCAGGCAGACTGCTGTGCAACCGCACTTCTTTGTGATGATCCTCGCTTTCTTTCCAAATTGCGTTCCTCTTACTCATGTGGCTGCAGTCATAGCTAAGCTCAACCACGGTCGACGGGTCAAGCACTACAGCACCGACGGTTATCTCCTGTGCTATCGCACTAAGCGTGGTGTTCGTATATTGTACGTTCCGGCCTCGCTTCGCACAGAACTTTTACGGAAAATGCATGACCATGCCTTGGCAGGTCATGGTGGGATCAATACAACGGTGGAGCGTGTTGCCAGGTCCTTCTGGTGGCCTAGGATGCGCCCCTCAATCGGGGAATACCTCCTCTCTTGTCCGGACTCCACGCAGCAAAAGCCGTAAAACACGCTCAAACCCGGATTCCTGCTCAGCCTGCCTATTCCCGATAGGATCTGGACGGATATCTCCATGGATTTCATAGTGGGCTTACCACCCGTCAGAGGACATGATAGTATATATGTTGTGGTGGATCGGTTTAGCAAATATGCTCACTTTATTCCCTGCTCGAGCACGGACACCGCGGAAGGAGTGGCCCAACTATTCATTAATCATGTGTGAAAGCTCCACGGCTTCTCAAAAAGCATCATTACCGACAGGGATCCGAAGTTCGTTAGCGCCTTCTGGCGCAGCCTCATGCAACGGCTCGGCATCGACTACAACATGACCACCGCCACCCATCCGGAGGCTGACGGCCAGAGCGAATGCGCTAACCGCACGCTGGTGCAGTATTCGCGAGTTTACACCCAACAGAACACATCTAACTGGCTTGACGTTCTTGCTTGTGCAGAATGGGTGTATAACAATACTGTGCATTCGTCCACTCGCTGCTCCCCGGCGTCCCTGGTCTACACCGAAACTCCACTCGCCGAACAGCCGCTCGACCTAGCGGTTGGAAGCCAGCCCCGACCGACTGTGGCTTCCGACTTCGGCACACAGCTTGCAGCAGAGAGGGAATGCATGCGCAAAGCACAGGAACGTCAAGCCAGAAACTATGATAAACGAAGTTCCGAAGTCAGTTTCAACCCGGGTGACTTGGTTCTGGTGGCTTTGCACGCCCTCCGTAGCGCGCAGGAGGGCGAGCAACCCAAAACGTTCGCCACACGATGGGTTGGACCGTTTGCTGTCCGCTCTCGGGTCAACGCCTTGGCGTACATTATCGATTTACCCCCAACGTGGAGATGTCACCACACTATTAACGTTGGCTTCTTAAAACAGTTTCGGGAATCTCCGCGGTTTCCTCGCACTCTATCGACGAAACCGCAGCAACGACCTCGCGAGCTTCCCCGCCTCGAGGACACAGAGATTCTCGAAGTGCGGATCAACGCCCGCCGCAGCCATCAGAAACGCTGATATTACGTCAAATGGCCGGGCACACGCGATCCCGAGTGGGTTTCGGAGGATCGATTACGGGAAGCGATCCCCGCCGAACAGCTAAGTGCTCTCC